ACAACAGCTATTTGTAAACATAAAGAAATGCTTGTAAATAGTTGTCTATTACTGTATCCTTCTCATGAGACTTCCCTCGACGTGGGGGAGGCAACACATGAGTGGCTGTCCTGCTAATCCAGCCCGAAGCCCCCCCCCCAAGCTGGTCACTCGTAATATCTATATTGGAAATTGGGAGTGGACAGTATGAGGGTCATTAGCTTCCTTCACAGGAATGGTACTATGGTACCATACTACAGTGGTCTGTTTAGTACAGTATGGGTACTGTTAAATCTGTCTTAAGCTTAACAGTTGCTTCACATTAAATTCTAAAATGGTTGTCCTTGGGAGGTTTGGGGCTTTTTTTTTTTTTCGTCATTAGCACAACAAACAACAAAAACCGTTTTATTGGTTGCTAGACGGTTGGGTGGATTTCGTTGTATATTCCTGTATATAACTTATATGACAATGAACTTTCAAATAAGAAAAACTATGAAATGTTTAACTAGTAGTAGTGAAAACCAAAATTATAATTTTTAAAACCATAATTAACTGTAATCAACTGCTATGTGAACCAAAGTACTAATGTATTTATGTAAATTTTGTATCTCAGTAATGCAACATGGGCAAGCAGAAGAGAACTCGTGTATCAATTGTGGTGGCAGGGCTTCTGCATTGCGAACTGAGCTGAATGTAGAGTGTGGCGAACTAAGGGGACTTTTGGACCCTGTAGGACATGAATGTCTCAGGATAGTTAGTAGAAGAGGCCAACACCTTAATCACCTATTGGCAAATACCTGGTGTCCCATCTACTTATATATGTGCACTCAGATAATTTACATATCCCCAATTACAATTTACAATTACAAAGATTCTTCCTCTTCCTGTTCGAAAACTTTCCAGTTAAAGATGCCATTACAAAGGTCATGGCCTGAAGTTGTTTGAAGAGAGGGATTCTCGGCAGCAGTTGATATGGAGGCAGGTAGGGACCTGCTAACATCATGGAAAGAACCACAGGGATGGTCTTGGTGTGCTTGCATGACGAGTCTTTATGATGAATGGATGGAGGGAACTCCAAATTTTCAACAGAGGGTCACTTACCAGCGATCATTACTGTGATGAAGTTATCCTCCCTGCACATGAGTCTTTTCCAAGTGCCACTGGTCCCTAATTTGTTTTTATGGATGACAATGTGTGGCCATAAAGAACTCCTGCTCTTCAGGAGTTCCTGAGAACTGAAGACATCCACAGAATGAATTGGCCAGTGTGCTCCCGAGTTAAATCCCATTGAACATGTATGGGATACTTTAGGAAAACGCTTGGTGGCCCGATCTTACATACCGGTGAATGCCAGACAACTGAAACAGGTGCTCCTTGAAGAATGGGAGCTCTTACCCCCAAGAACTGTTGGATTATCTGATGCTGACAGATGGTGCAATAGAAACATTGCAATTAGCGAAAGTCATATCTCTAAAGCTCTTTTAGTTTGTTGTTCTCCCTCTTGTACACAGTTTTTTGTACCAACTCCATTCTGTAAATTACGCCTTTTTCTGTTCTTTCCATATCGTATGCATCCTATTCATTTTTCTCTCTACTCTACTTTCCTCATCTTTTAAGTATTACATTGTGCCTCTATAATATGATTTTTATTATCTCTCAGTTGATTTTTGCCAAATTAGAGTCAAAATCAGGAAAGTTGCTTGAGTTTTTCACACTAATGTATAAACACTATATACAGTCACAAGCTACTGCCTAATAAATGCTGTTAAGATGGATGATTCGAGGGCATTTGAACAGACATTTGACCGTAATATATCACTATGGATATAATTTGAATTCATTATCTGAGTGGAAAAAATATGAGAGCATTTCAGAATGATTATTACATAATGTTTTAAATATGATGTATTTTTAGATCTAAAATAATTTCACTTATAACACATCTCAATAGTATGTAAAAAGGTTATCACCACTAGAATTAATCAATTGTTGGCTGAATATTGACAAAAGGATAAATTTATAAGAAATTATCATTTTGCCCTGCGCATGGTCATAAGTGATTAGTACATCACCAAGAAATATGAAGATCCATGGCATAAATTCTAGTGAGGGGTACTTTTGATTTCAAAGAAGCATTATGGTATTAACAGTAGAATCTGTTCCCAAATGGATTTGGGTATTGTATCTCACTATAGCTGAACTTGGAATAAAAAAAAAATAAAAATAGAAATTATCGTGTTTTCCCATAATGTAAGTGTCCTGGACTGCAACTGGAACTGGAAGATTTATGCTTCAAATACTTGTGAGGGCACTTTCAATTTTTTTACTTTTCTAAAAAAAAAAAAAAAAAAAAATAAAATAAAAAAAAAACACTATCTTTTTAATATTAATCTAATTTAGTAAATTTTGGTAATTAGCGAAATTTAATAAACTGAGGTAATATGAAATCAGACACAAATGATGTAAAAGCACATTTTACATATGATTATCCTATATCCATATTCTTTGCAAAATCCCTAACAATATCTCATCCAACATTAGGATTCTAACAAATCACATTTTAGAAAGATTGCTTGCTTATAATTTTCCATTACATAATATTTTTTAAAGCATTCTGCAGTGTGAAACCATGGTTCCCCTGAATATTTATCATGATATCTTTCTCTTGATTTCCCAACTCAAACATACTAAACAATCTCTGCTTTTAAATTTCTTCATATGGAACATAATGTCACTTAGTTTTACCACTTAATATGTCTTAAGTGCATTCTTAAAACAATTAAAAGCACAGGCTTATCAATACATAGCAGGGTTAAGGAAATAACTTAATATACTACTTTGTAATTTTGCAGTATGTTAATGTATTCTAGCATGTGATTAGAATGATAACCGTAATACATTATGGTAGCAACGAAATTCGGACTATTTTATGATATAAACAGGTATATAAATGGAAAAGTAATATCTGCTGGTAGTGACTGAGGACACATAATAAGTAATTTAAAAAATTAACAGTGCTGCAATATCATAGACTACACATACAGTTTTTTTTTTCAGTTTACTTTTGACATATATAAAGAAGAAAGTATCACTTCTTAGCTGCAAGTTTTATATCTAACTGATAAAATGATTCATAGTACAGTACAAAGTCTTATTTCCAGACTCATCGGGACTTCAGCGATTCCCGATTAGGGTTTTTTCCGGATTATATATCATCAATTTAAATCTGGTAAGATGGCATGCAGAAATTATAAAATTAAAAATATGAAACTGTAATTTATGAAATAAAGAGCAATTATGATCTAACAGGTATCAAAATTTACCAAAAAAAAAAAAAAAAAAAAAAAAGCTTAATATTTATTTGTTTATTTTATTAAACATTTATTTCAACGTAAGTTGTTTAAGTTGCTTTGTTTTATGTGCTAATAATTTCTCTTTAATTCTATAAACAGACATAATTTCTTGTTCAGTTAAAAAGTTCTGCTGTTTAAAGTCCTGTAATTGCTACACCGAGAATACCGACTAACTTGTCAATCGAAATTTTTTCGTTTTCACTAACCTCTCTGTCACTTTCTTCATGCCTTTATCCATTTTTTGCAGCAATTCCACTTTTTATTTGATGGACATCGAAACATGCTTTCTCTTTGTAGATCCTTTGGCAGCTCCAAAATAGGAAACTCTTTTTGACATAATCAAAAGTTCAAGCTTACTTTTTATAAAATTGCTCTAACGGTCTGCAAAAAATAATAAACCGAATCCAATTAGAAGATTAAGGAACAGAACAATCTGCAACATTAACTGAAATGCCTTAAATAATTTTAGCCTAGCTTATACTGTACGTTATACATTAAACGCGCATGTGTAAACGTATTATGCGCATGCGGAAATGCATAAAGGTAAACACTATGCATGCGCAGAAAGTTTGTAGCTTTGAGGTCCGGATTATAGATCATTCCGGATTAAAGACTTTGTACTGTACTTACAGTTAAATACTTTGCTCACTTAAAGCTGCACTGATCAACAATGTGGTCAGTGATCCATCAGTCAATTTATTGTAATGTGGTACTATAGATCAGAAATATATCCTTAATATATGCAATAAAAAATGCATTTTTGGTGCAAAAGTACGTACTTCTATTTTGTTGCAAGATCTAATGGAAATACATTCTATTATGTCAGTCATCTGCTTTTTATATGGAGTCCACAAAGTTTAGCTGAAGATGCTAGACTAGCTATGTTTACACATTAATGTTTCTCTGATCTTTATGGCAAACAGAGTATCTACTTTTAAAATATTTAAAATTGGGCATTAGACATAATACAAAAATGCTTTCATTAAGTGCAATTAAAAAAATAAAAAGACTTTTCTTGGAACAGAAATTATTCATAATTTATGATCATTATCTGCAAAAAATTTAATCAGATCACTCTGAAATTGGTCATTACTAGTTTAAAAAATTAGTTAAAAATGTCATCCAAGACTACTTATTTTTATTAGAAACATGAAGTTTTTTAATTCCAACATAATAAATTATGAAACATCTACAGAAAAGTTAATTGCATATCAAAGGTTTAACAAAATTTATGAAGTGAAAATTTTTAAAATTGTTAAAGATTCTTAAATAAATCATATTTATTATTAATTAGAGGAAAATGATCCTCTTTCCTTAAAAGGATGAATTTTAATATTTTGGGACAGAATTATCAGCTATCAGTGCAGTTCTAAAAGAAGTTATTTAACTGTTAACAACAGCAATTTTACATTTTACTACACAAATAGGTATGAGGTATGTAATATATGAAAACTCTTAATAAAAGCTCTGCTAAATGTGTTTGTTATGTATAAAATTTTATTTGATGATAACAAAACTTAACTTTGTCCTTTTCAGGTAAAAATAATTTTTTGCATTAATTTTATTAAATAGTTTTCAAAATAATTTCATAGTATTCATATAGTTAGATATGTAATATGTATCAAGTTCTTTTTGCATAGGGTTAAATAAAATCCAAGAATATAAAAATTATGATTTTCATCTTTATTTTTACCAAAGAACTTTCTTAAAAAAATCAAAAATTATGTTTACACTACAATAAAAAATTTAGCTGCAATGACAAATTAAGAAACAAAAATATTCAGAAAAATTCATAAAAAATGTAAAATACATCAAATGCATTTACAGAGCTGGGGATTACTAAACTGAATTCAAAATGGAGATAACTGCATGTCAATAAAACGAAAAGAGATATCAAATCATCTTATCAGTATCTTCAGACACAAAGTTAGTAGATAGAGGAAAAATACAAAAATCTTAGCCTGTGATAATTTCCCGTTGAAACAAAAAATTCAAAAAATAAATTACTTTAAATTCAAATTTTATGTTTAATGATCTTAAAAACAAACAATCCAATGTGTTTTATATCTTTAATTAACAAAGAAATGAAATTAAATCTCTAACTGCAATTATCTCAAGTTTAAATCAGTGGAATGTTAAATTCCCCAAAGCCTGCAAAAAAAAAAAAAAAAAAAAAAAAAAAAGTGTACCTAAAAATATTACATAAAATAACACAACATAAAATTTGCTGAGTTGGGCTTATATTAATGTAATAAAAACATTACAACTCAGGGGGGAGGAATACACTAATAAACGTTAAGCTACATCATACATAAAAATCTTTAAAAGGAGCAAAATGCTATCTTTCAAGTTGGATTTAATAATCATATTTCAGAAAGACTAACCTTTGTATAAAAGAGCCACATACTATAATGAGTTTAATGTTAGCTTTCACAAATGATGATAATTTGGGAAAACTGTGCATTTTATGAAATTACAATGAAATAATCTATACAGATGAAAAGCTGAATTAATATTTTATCAAGATCAGAGAGTGCCACTCCTAACACTTTCAATAAATATAGTTATTTAGCACCTTCTAATTTTATGAAAACATATCAAAACAGAAATAGATAACAGAAAAAAATTGATTAAACAAACAAATGAAGAGAAAAATTACTGAAAATTAAATCTAATTTCCTCTATCTGATTTTTACTGTACAAACCAAAATATATGGAAAAAAGAAAATTGTGAAGAGAAAAAAAAATTTCCTGAAGAGGAATAAGGAACTCTTTTCACATAAATATGTAAGATTTTCTAGACATATACTGCTCAGGAATATAGACTTGTGATATAAAGACTCTTTAAAAATTAAACACTGACTGACACTAATGTATCTTATTTATATTTAAAGAATTTTCATTCTAGTCAATTATACATTCAAACTTTGAAGAGCAAGTAATATTAACGAAGTACAAAGTATGGACGGATGTTTAGTGTAAAATGAAAAGTGCAGTATTTTCTTCCATCTTGCAAAATTAACAAAAAGGAATATTTACAGATATATACCTCAGCACCAAAATACCAAAGCTAAAAGAGTGATATACACTAGCTGCACCTTATTGAAATTAAGAGATAGATAAATTATTCTAACACTTTCAAAATGAAAGTTTCATAATAATTACAAAAACTTTTTGCAAATTAAGCAATCTCAGCACTTAAAAAAATATCAAAAATAGGTAAGAAGATAATAACCTTTTATACATGTAGAAGCTACATAAAAGGAAAATAATTAAATAAACTACTTACAAAATGAAATAAAATTACATATTTGCAAAATAAAAAGATTTCATAAGAATTAAAAAGGCTTAAAACAGAGATTTGGCATTTTTACATATAAACACATACTAGCTGATCTTGTGGCACCTTTTTTTTTAGAGCTAAAGGAAAAAAAATTCAGTCAGGTCTCAAAGTACAAAATTTTTAATGCTTACAAAATTATAAGTAAATAAGGATAAACAGAATTAGCTGCAGCTATTATTATTATACACACACATTTAGGATCAAATGTCCAACATGTGCAAAGAAAAACTAGTTCCAGTATGCAAAATAATATAATGAATGTTGGCAGTACATGCACACTATGAACCATGACAATTATGGCATCAAAAATTCATGAAACATGATACAAAAATGACAAAACATTTTCAATGTTGCTGCTTTAAAGAGTAAAGCAGCAAGAGGAATTATACACTGAATAAGGCATCACAGAACAAGGCTGTAAACAGCTGCCATTTGTCAAATTTAAATATTTCCTCGTGTGCTCTAAGAATAACCAGTGCAGATGTGGATTCTGTAAAAACAAGTGCTTGTACATGTATATATGTATATATATACAAGTGCTTGTATATATATAATTATACAAACACAGTGATAGTACTTATTTACCATATCATTAACACATGTATCATTAAAATGAAAATTATTTAAAAATTTAAAAAATGAAACACCAAATCTTTAATCAGAAAAAAATGACAGCTCCAACATAAAATTCTAAAAGCTTTAAAATATACAATTTTAAAATAACTGATCGATTTAGCACTGCAATGAATCCAAATCTGCATGCGATATGATCACTCTTTAGAACAGAGTCACAAAGATTAAAAAACAAGTCCCTGCTTGTTCTGTTTATGGTTGGCAACTGATTTCATTAACTAAATATTCTTTTACTCTTCTTCACTTTCTCCTTGACCATACATATCCGCAAGTTTCTGGAAACGTGGTCCCCATCCATTGAGATATTCAAAATCATGATCATTATCATCTGTGCATGAAGCAAGAGAGCTCAGTGAACCAGCAGAACTGCCACCACCCTCATATGCATAATTGCGCAAGTCATCAAAAGGAGGAACATTTATGTCTGTATCAGCTTTATCCTGATGGTCACGAATAAAATCTCCAACATCTGGCTGTACACCTGGTGGGGCTAAATGGAAACATTTCATATTAAGTACATTTTCTAAATAAAAAGCAATTATACTAAAATTTTATGTGACAAATAAAAATTAAAAAAAAAAAAAAAAAAAAAAAAAAAAAAAAAACATCTGATGTAAACAGATTGCAGGTTTTAATGTTTTGTTGATAAACCCTTAATTTTTGTGGCTTTTTATTCTAGGATGTCAGGCCAGTAATTCCTACTTACCTTTGATATATGAAACTTACATAAGAAATATAATTCAAGCTAATATGACAAATGCCAAATAATTCATAATGATTATATATATGTATATATATACAAGTGAGCCATTTATAACAAAATCAACTATACTATATTTAATTTATCTCATGACCTTTATCTTAAGAATATCAATAAATTTAAAATTAGACAAAAAGAATTAGATTGATACAGATTTTGAATAGATCTCTATCATTTTCAAGAGCAATCAAGCATAGGTAAAAAATGTGAAAAAAAAAAAGTGCTCCACAAAAATTAGAAAAACTCTTTCTAGCAATTCCACTGGCGAACAGATTATGTTCCTCTTTTTTTCAAGAGGGCCAAATCTAATTTTTATGGTTATGAAGTTGTTAAGTATCAATGCAGAAACATTCCTTGATAACTCAATATTTCAAAATAAAAAAGAATATAGTAAATATTTCTATTGGTTTTATATCAAGGTATTTTGTTTATAATAAATTTATACTAGATACCAAAAGCTTTTGCTATTGTGCTTATGACTTAACTAAAGTGGAGGTTTGAATGCATATGTAATTGTTTTAAAATAACGATATATGTTTACTTCTTTTGGATATATGAGGTGAATACCAAAACAAAGTTAACATTAAACATATTTTTTGAAAAATTACAAAATTACCTTTAAAATATTTTATATCTCGTGTTATTTGCAGAAGGACATATTTTCATGCTAAAAACTCATTACATAAGAGTATTAACATTAAACTTCTGATAAAACATTATTAACGTTAAAAATTACACACACTTTTCTCAACGTCTTCACTCTAAACCAGATAACTCAGAGATTGCAAAATTTCTTTAAGTTTCCAACTATTTTAGCAATGGTCTTCAGATGTATTTAAGAGTTAATAATTTTTAAAAAAGACTATATTTCATGTGTTAAATTCATCAAAATTAACTGCTAAATGCATCAAAATCAAATAAAATCATATATGTTATTTACCTTGCCATTGAGGATGTTCTCTAACTGGCCCTTTCTCTGGACCAGATTTTGCCCCCATCGGTGATCCATAACCATCAATAGGAATCTGTAAAGTCTTAATGTCATAAGCATTCATGTCATCTTCTCCACCTCCTTCATCATCGTACACAATGATATTTTCACGAACATCATCTATTATGTCTTTTTGGTCATAAGGTTTGTGGGATCGGAAACGAGAATAGAGGGCCACAAGCAGGACAACAACTGTAAAGAAAATTACAAAAATAATTCCTTTATATGTTTATTATAGCATTTGTTTACAAACAGAAAAAAAAAAAAAATATCCTAAAAAGGATGCACTTAATTTTAAATAATGATAACCTCTGAATCAAAACTAGTACAATTTTTTAGCTTTTTGGCAATTCTGTAGAATGCCTTAAATTCTACATAAGAATTTAGCATGGCTATTAGGTTTTGCTAAGCGATGAAATAATTTACAGGAATATATTCTAGATATAAGTGGAAGGCTGATTTAATCTGACTTTCAAAACTATGTGTTTTACAAAGAGATTTATAAAAAGGTGAAGTTTATAAAAGTTCAGAGACAAAATTAACCAAACTAAAAAGAATGATGATGATGATATTTTATTAGATCAATCATGATATTCTGAAATGAATTTCGCTAGAATCAGATTATCATTCAGATATTAATCATGCAATAAATGATTTCTATATTAAATGTCTTGAAGGATTTATTTTCTGATTTAAGGTACATACACATGTTGAAAACACTGATTTTTTTATTCAAAACATATGTTTATTGTGCATATAAATGACACTCATCTTTCAAAATCTGCTTCAGTATATTTTTTCTGGGAGAACTAAATTATGAGAAATAGCTTCATTAAAAAAACAGAAAAAGGCCAAACATAAAATAACAGTATTTAACATCTTTTGACATACAAACAAAATAGTTCATCCCCTTTTAAATTTATCTACATATTTACCTTTAATTCAGTGTACTTAATGCATACTTGCCAACCTATGACACTCAAAAATCAGGAGATTTTTTTAAGAAATCGGGAGATTTTTCACAATGTTAAAAAGACTTTTTAAATGATGAAAATATAGTTTTTAATAATGAATTAACTTTAAAATAGTAACTAATTCTTAAATGCAAGCAACACAAAAATACCTTACACATAAAAAAACATTTTTATTACTTGCATCGATTAAGAAAAAAGAAAACCACTTTAATTAGTTTTCGTACAAATGTTATAAACAGTGGCAGATTTTGCTTTCTTTAAGAAAGAAACTTCATAATTTTGTTCGTAGTAATTGCCACGTAGGCCTGCTTTCACTAATAAAAGCTTTTCTAATGTGTCATCACTAATATTAGATCTAAATTTAGTCCTCGTTTTTGCAACAATACTGAAAATTTTCTCACACTCTGCATTATTATGGGGAACTGTCAAGATGGCCAACATAATTCTAGACAGCTCCCTATATTTTAAAATTCCATCAGCAGACATTCTGCATTAGCAACTTTTTGGTCCTCTGTTTCCGAAGAAAAATTTTATTTTTCGTTTTTTTCAACACAACTCATGTTGTCCTTGTGTTTTTGTGTACGCACATGTTTGAGAACATCCGCCCTTCCAACATGCGAAATCGAAAAATCGCAACGACAGGCAGTACACATCACAAATTTATTACATTTCCTTGAGGAAATAATGGAAAGAAAGTCAACTGTGTATGATTTTTGAAATGTACACGAGTATTTCACCTTTCTGGCAGACATAACAAAAGATGATAATTTCTAAAACTATTTCCCTAAGGCACGTATACTCAAACAAATCAGGACAAAATGACCGAAATAACTAAAGAACACCCAAATAACAGCTTGCTTTGTCCTCATTGGCTAATTAATATATTGCCAGATGACACGTAGTGGAGCACGATGCCCCCATAGGAGAACTGGAGAACGACGTTTCTGGATACGTATATGCTCTGCTCTCACTTACAAAGCAGAAGTTATCTAATTCGCAAGGTTTTGTTTTAGATATAACCTAGAGAAAATTCAATTGCTTTCAGACTGCCAAAATCACTTTTTTTTTGTTTGTTTATATAACAATGTATTAAGCCAAGTTCCATAAAAATCGTGAGAAATTTTAAGAATAAGAAAAAGTCAGGAGAAATATATTGTAAATCGGGTTGGCGGGAGAGCGGTTGAAAATCGGGAGTCTCCCGCCTAAATCGGGAGAGTTGGCAACTCTGTTAATGATATTCTACAGAATCATTTTAAATTTACAGTCATTACTATCTAACCTCCACCTTTCTTTTCTTTTCTTCTTCAGAAGGGAGGGGATTATAATTCACCTTTCTCTTGAAGTATAGTATGTCAGTCCAGAGTTCGAATCCCAGAGCACAGACAGGCTGCACAATGTTTCTGTGGTTTTCTCATCTGTAATGTGTATACGAGCTATTTCCCTTAGAAAGTCCTCCATGAAGGCATCCAGACAGCCCTTGTGTCTTTAGTGTTATCAAATAAACCAAATCAATGGGGTACAACTTGTAATACCAGGAAAATTTTACTGCCTTCTAGTCTCTAAATTCTAGAAATTCCTTTTTAAAGCCTTCAAATACATTTTTTTAAACCTTGGTTTTTGGCCTTGCTTGGGGGGGGGAGACTTATATATAAAACTTCTACAAATGTAAATGAAATTTTCAGCAATTTTTCACTATGATCTTAATGCAAACAATTATGGAAATGGAAAAGACTTCAAACTGTAGAATGATGGACAGTAAAACTATTAATGCACAATTTGATAGTTTAAATTTAACTTTTTTGTTTAATGGTTTGTTAAAAGATTTAGTTAGAATAAATGGAAGAAAAAAGTTTACTTTTATAAATAAGTATTAAAAGTATAGGTGTTGCATAAATTATAATAGATCTAATTTTAATTTTGGAAAAATTAACATCCATTATATATGTATATCTTAAAACCCATTGCATATTCACTGTACATCAATAATTTAAACACTCAATTACATAATTTTGGGACAGTGTCGTATATCAGGCTTTATGATGGTTTCAATATTTCAAATATTTTTCAAAAAAAAAAAATAGAATTTATGAAGTAATTTTATAGATTCCAAGGGCTAAAATTTATCCAGAAAACACTTATACACATCAGGTACAAAAAATAATTCATATAATACTATTTTGCTGATTGTTCATTAATAATTTGGTATATTCTTATACTTTTTCCATACTGATGGCTACCAATGGCAAAATATACTGATACATGTAAAAAACATATATTTTATAAATATTATTAAACAAAATTTAATTACTTAAATAGCATATGCTTCAATAAATGCAACAAAATACTTACCTATAATAACAAACAAGCAAACAAGAATAAGAACCAATGCTGCATAACTAAGTTGCATAACTTTTTCTTCCCTAACTGCATTGCAGTGTATGCCAATATACCCATCAGGGCATATGCATTCATAACCTTGTCCATCTGGTAAGTTAATACAAGACCCACCATTTAGACATGGCTGCTGGGTAATGCATTCGTCTTCATCGCTGCAATTTGATCCATCAGGAGTCACAACAAATCCTTTTGGACATCTGAAAATGATAAAAAGACAAAAACATTACCAAATGTAATGCATACACAATGGACATGTATCACTTTACAAGTAAAACATAAATAGATTTAAACACTTGGTGACAGAAATTTTTCCCTTAAAATATGTTAATATGAAAAATTTTGGTGGATTTTATACCAATGTATTCCCTTATTCTGAAGCATTCAACACATAAGCTTTTAAGACACTGTCCAATGAAATTATATTACAATGTAAGATAGTGCCAAAAACATGATATTTACAACTATAACATTGCTATTAACAACTGTAACATTGCCAAAGGTTACTGGACACTGCTTGTCAGCCTGAAAACAATGGTGTGAGTTTGATTCTATAGTAAGGCTTTGCTGTATGTGTATCTATCTTGCGTTCTTGCAAGTGTTATATCAGTTGACACCTAGTCCAGTTTTTGATGATAAAAACCCAAAATGAATGATGGCTTCGACCATAATTTCTGATGAATACTTAGTCAGCAAGTGTTCAATTCCTAGGGGTGGAGAAATCTTTTTAAATAATTACTGTACAAATTTTTTCCCAAGTTAGCAAAAAATTAAATATGTATTCCATGGCTACCCATAAGATACTGAAACTTGGTTCTCCAATGAAAAGAAAATTGAATTTTTACACAGTATTAAAAGAAGAGTAATTTTATGGTTATAAGTTTTATGCAAGTTAAATGTTACGCATGTGCTTAATTTGCAGAAATTAAACATACAGAAAGATCAGCAGCTTAATAATGGTTTTGTACTTCAATATTTCGGGTATCCAGATTGAAGGTATCTATGATGTATCAAGTTTTTGTGAATGACTTTTATTAACATGACATTTATGCCCATTTCCACTGCAATTTGATAACATTTCTCACATTAATTTTCCATCATGTTTTCCTCAGTGATTTACCTAGGGTTATCTTCAAATGATGTTCTTCTTTATTTCAACATAGCAGCTCATTTTTTTTTTTTTTTTTTTTTTTGCTGCATTGATGTAACATCACTGCAGAATGCAACCACCTATTCATAAATACTTTAGAATGTTATTTTTTTATGAAGAATTCAATCAACAACTGATGTTTGATATCTTTTCCATTATAACTTATTTACAACATAACAAAAAGTAAACTGATAATTACTATCAGTCTTTGCTGTAAGCTTTTCTCTGTAGTCTGCCTTCCGATAAGCATTATAACCTCGATAACCAGCATCAATAACCTCAACAAAGATAAAGGGCTATTGTTAATTTATTATTACAAAGGTAGATATTTCATATTTTACATAAATATATATATAATGTATTAATTGAAATCTATTGCAGATGGCTAGCATAAAAAACACGTTTGAAATGGATGCTGAGCTGTTTCAGCCATACACATGCATACATAACACGCTATATACATGCTGCATATATTTCAATAATAAAAGCATCTGCAATGGATACACCAAAGCTAACCAAAAAGCTAAGCAATGCAGCTTCATTTTCTCACATAGAAGTCTAAACATTTACAGATATCCACTTAATATAGTCAGGCAACAAAATCTACAGCCTCTGGTACATTCTGTTAAACACTATAATTTCAAATAAATAAAATTTTACAACATAGGACATGAGAATTGAATGTGCATACAAAATTAAAGTATTCTTCGAGACAGGAAATACTTTGCAGCTATAAAAAGCGTTTGTTATGCACCTTAGTCAACAATTTCTGCAAAATTTAAGAAATATTAAACAATCCAATTTAAAATCACTTAATTTTCATATTTATTCTCTTACATAAACTGTGTTTTGTGCTGCTTTCTACGATTCCATTTTCCCATATACAGTTTGAAGGCAGTGGTGTTTTACTATTTATATACATGAGAAAATTAAACAATTACTGCAAGATTAATAAAGTAACAATAACAGACAAGTTTAAATTAAAAAAAATCCAGTTGTACTTATCAGATTTAAAGATCCAATACTTATAAAATGGCTATATGAATTATAAAAATATCAAAACATGTATATCATATAACAACTATTTTAAAACACTTACGTGCATTCATACAACATCCACAAATCGACACATATAAATGGTTTCTTGCAGAATACACCAGCACAAGGATTATTGGAAGGACATCCAGACTGAACATTGGGTGATTCAAGTACAATGGCACTTTCAGAGCCATTTTCCATTGGCAAATATCTTGTATCCAATCGAATGTCATCAAGGCAACCTAAGAAAATGAAAATTTTTGTTAGAGGTATATTTAAATAATTGAGTTACTTGCCTAAATAAAATAGAATCTGGAAAAAAATATAATTACCTGCTTGGAAGTCATTATCCACCAAAGTAACAGTAGGAGCAACATACTGAACATCACCACCAACAATCACATTCTTTCCTTCAATAACTAACTGCTGATGACGTCCCTTGTAGTCAAGCAGTTCATTGTACCTTCGTCCACCACCACCATCAAGGGAAATAGCAGCAGTACTGCCATATCTTTCGACTCTGACATTATGCCACTGACCATCATTCACGCTTACATACGGCAACCATAATTCTTGCTCAGCTGATCGGAATTGGTTCAAGTTGAAACGGAACCTTAGAGTTGTGTTCCTTATCTAAATTAATTTATCAAAAAATATTGTTTTCAATTCCTTTCAAAGAAATCTAAGAATTATTTTAAAATACAACATATATTCAAATATCTTAAATAGCAAGAAAATGATAAGATCTGCTATTTGTTTCATTCCAAAAACTCTGTTATAAGCCCTGCTATATTCTCTACTAAATAGAATTATTATGTATAAAATTACTTCTAAGAAATAATGTTTGCTATATAGACTGTAGTAAACTAGAAGAATCTGAATGAGATTCAAACCCAGATATTCTATGACAACAGTGTTTCTAAAATTCTGTTGATGGTAGATTTAATACCACATAAAATATTACAGATTCTAAATATACAGAACTCAAAATAATGAAGTTAACTGAGGCCACAGCTCATTCAGTTTCTTGAAAATTCTGAATAACTGAATTTTCCTTTCCATTTTGTCTTAGAGGCTAAATAACATCAACATTTTGTCATATTGCTGTAATTTTGATGTTGTACATATCCTTTAAAGTCTTCAAATTTTTTGGATGTTATGTCTTGAAAGATTTATCATCCAACAATTTTGTAAATATCGCCTTTGCATAGTTCTTTAATTTATCTTTTGGACAGCCTTGCACATAGAAATTTTCTAGTTTTGCCACTGGATGCGACATAAAATTTTTAACTTGCCTTTCAAACTTAATTTTAATTGTTTAACAACATAGCCAAATGACATAATTAATATTTATTTTATCCCACATAATACTGACCATTTTTAAGAATATTTATAGCTTCATTGTAATTACATAGCTGCCAATCTTGGATATGAAAAATTGGGAATTTTTTTGAGAGATTTTTCACACTGCACAGCAATGGCATTTCAAAAGAGATCAAAACTGGCCTAAATTCATTTTATAATGCCTCATTCAGATTATTAAAGCATTTATAATATAATTCTGGTGTAAAATACATTAATATTTAATTAGACAGTCTATATTTTATGTTCTTTAGCTTAACTTCATTTTTAATTATTCTTACAAATCTCAAACGCTAATAGAAATAATTTAATATAAGCAGAGTACCACCCATACAGTATGAAATGGGCACTGACATTACCATCATCAACATTGACATCAATGTTTGTTTTAATCTATTCTTACCCCCCCCCCAAAAAAAAAGAGGAAGAAGGCCTTAAGCATAGATTCTGAGGTCCACTCAATGCATCTTCATGACAGATTGCATATTTACAAAACATTGTTTACCAATCTACATAGCATACACAATCATCTAAATTAATGAAATCATTTCTTAAAAACATGTACCTTAACTACAGCATTTTTTAAATTATTGAAAATGGAAAAGCGAGCAAATAAATTAAAACAACTTTAGTCTAATTAAGGTAAAATAACACGCCAAACAAAAACTAATTTAGAAGTCAAACAACAAAAATCAGTATTATATTTGCAAATTTTTGTTGATTGTCTTCTAGATTAGCTTTACTTTACTTTGCCTGGAAGAAACACACAATCAATCTGAAATGTGTGTGTGTGTGTGTGATTATGGCAAAGCCTCGAGGGCTATCTGCCTAAAGGGAGGAATGCCTTTCGTGGAGGACTTTCTAAGGGAAACTGGCTCGTATACATGTTACACATGGGGAAAACCATGAAAACACCCATGCAGCCAGCCCGTTCGCGGGATTCGAACCTCGGACCGAACTACCAGTGTTCAGCGACTTTACCGCTCGGCCGCTGGTGGGCCACAATCAATCTGAATAAATGGTATTTTATTGCATTGCATTTTTCATTACATATTTTTTTTAGTTATTGTACACTTTTTTTTTTTTTTTTTAAATTTTAAATAAGAAATCCTTATGAAACATCCTAATTCATGCAATCTAGAACAGATTTTTTAACACACCACAATAATCAAAATTCTATATACACTTAACCCCTTCGAGCCGACTGTCACGTATACGTGCCAGCAACGAACACACTTATCTACCGGCCGACACACAGGCGTGCCAGAGCATTGTTGCGTTTTCTACCGACTGTCAGGTATTTGTGCCAGTACCTTGGAACATTTTTCAAACTATAATTTCTGCCACAAGATGGCACTGTACGTCCATATGGTTTCAGATACATGTACATTAGACCTTCTACTCGAAATGAGAGAAGCATGACTCGCATATACGTGTTTTTGATTATATAAACAAATGGGGAACTAAATGTTTCCAAATGGTGTGATTTATGACGTCTCTTTAAATCGCACTTTATTCGCACGTGGTAGTTGTTTATTGTAAGTAGAAGTTTTATATGCGCTAAAGCGTTGAGTATTTCCATTTACAGTTCAGTTTTTAGAAAATAATTAGATCTTGTTAGATGTGAATTCTTTCTGTTTTTACCGTTTCAATGTCGAAGCGTCGAAAATGTTTAACAGAGCATGAAATAGCAGAAATGATGCAAAATATTTCAGATATTGATTCTGAAATTCTGATATTGATTCTGAAAGATTAACTGAAAGACATTTTCCCAAAACTTTTTCAGAAGAAACTGATAAGAAAATGAGACGATGATGCTTCGTTTGTTCACATTCCCGGAAAAATCCTCCAAAACGGCAAATGAGTTATTACAAGTTCAAGGAATGTAATGTAGGACTGTGTGTAGATCCCTGTTTTCAAATTTTTCATATGAAAAGAGAATTTTAAGTAATATATTTAGTTTTCAGATGTATAATATTAAAAGTCATAAAATGGTGAGTAATTAAAATAAAATGTGTAAAATATGCATTTAAACAAGAAATAAGGTAATTAAAGTATATATATAAAAATATCTATAAAGCATAAGCCGTTTAAATACTCTATAGAGCATTATTAAACAATGCGTTGATACTTCGGAAATTTCATGGATTTAAGCAAAAAAGCCCCCGGCCCTGGAGAGACGCTCGCGGAAGAAACTGCCGGCCTCCGCGATAAGCGCGCGTTTTCGCTACCCGGCTCGAAGGGGTTAAGCCCAGTCATTAAAATTGTTAATACTACAATGAGAACACTAGAAATCACTTACTTCTAAAATAAGATATTCTCTTCCATGTTTGCTTGTTGCTCTGAATAATTCACCATGTTTTTGACGAGTCCTAAAATTCAGTTGAATATCATTAGAGTATTCCTCAGGGTTAAATGTCAGAGCATAACGTATGTAGCTATTCTGTCGGAACATTTTTTCCTGAGTTTCTGAAGGAAAAATAAATACAGTTTGAATATCATTAGAAAAATATGCTTATAGTATCCAAATTTCAGAAAAATAATGCAATAAATATTTAATATGTAAAACATACTTATATCACAACGAGCACCATGGTAACCTGGGAAGCACACACATTTAGCAGATGCATAGTTGCCAATACAGCTACCATGCAGACAGAATTTATCTAACCGATTTGGATAACAGTGTTCTTCAGCGGGTGGACAGCCGATGGTACTGTCCTTACTGTCACCAGCACCAGCAAGATCATACATCTAAACAAAAGAAAAATATTTTATATAAAAGCTTACAATAGCATAAATTAAGATCTGTCATTAAAATTTTAAATTTGGTTGTAATGTTTTAAACCTGAAAAACCAATCAAACATAAAGGCAAACTAAAAAAAAATTCTTCCCTCTTAACTAACTAGCAATAATAATCAATAATTCAGATAATTTATAAATCCAAGTTAAGAAGAAAGGATTTTTTGCAATTTAATTCACATTACACAGAAAATTTTTATTTAAATTAAGGTTATCAAGAAATTAAAATGCTAATTTTATTTTTTAAATTAAAAATTAAATGACATAACTTTTTCTTAACTGATTAACAGAAGTGCAATATGCGAGCTCAAATCTCATTTTATAGCTAGCTAAATGTACAAAAAAAAATTATTTTGGATTTGTTTTTTCAACTGGATAATTTAATTATGGCAAAGTGCAGTAGAACTATCTGCTTAAGGAAGGGAAGCCTTCATAATAAACTTTTGAATTTAAGCAGATTAAAGAAATGAAAATATCAAATAAAGAAAAGTCCTACTTAAGGTTTTCAGTTTCAACAGTTGTCTTCTAAATTACAAGAAGTAAACAAAATCAGGTGAAGTACTTTAACTTGATCTTGTTTTAATATATTTCAAATAAATGAAATAAAAATTAATTCTTTAGTTCACTGATTTTAATATATATGAGAAAAAATACAAAATATGTTTCACGAAAAGTTTTGATTAATTAATTTTGAAGTTTTATTCTAAATTTCATAGTTCTTACATATTTTTTAAAAAAAATCAAATAACTCAAACACAAAACCTGCAGCCAAAATTTTAAAATGTGTAAGTTTATTATTTTTCTGCATCATTAAGAAATTGATGGTTCTAATTTGTCCTTAGTTAATTTTTCAAGAGCAAGTGCATGATTAGTCCCTTTCACATACAGGTATCAGACAAGTCTGTAGACTCAAAGCTGCTTTTACAAGTGTAAATATTTGTTTTATAAATGTAAATCAAAAGTTGACAACAGAACAAAGGTACCTTTCACTGAACAAGTTTTTTAAATTTTTTTTTTTTTTTTTTTAGATTTATTCATTTTTATAAACTCACAAGTTCATTCTGACCTTCACATCATCTCATTCTCAATGACTAATAATAATTTTCATTCTGAAGGTGTAAACAATGTAAAAATGAGAATATCTTTAAGAGATGTATACTTTTAATTAATATTTTTATAAAATGATGATCACATTATTTCATTTTTCAAAACTGCCATAAAAAGTCCTTCCACACGCTACACCATGATTGACAATGCCTAAATTAAAGCAATGTAATGTACAAGAGTGAAAAACTGCATTTAACCCTCAGCAACCGATGTCCTATTTTCTAACATTAAATACAGCATTAAAATAGAAAATTTAGCAATTTAAAACTTTCCATAGTTGCCTCTAAACGAATAAAAATATTATATAATAAATTTATTTTCTAATACTAAAATTAGCTTAAACAGCCCACACAATATTTGAAGAAAATTTTAGAGGAATGATTTTAGGAATGAAGATAAAGCTCACAACTGCACTTTTGTATTTTAGTGACATTTCCTTACAATTTACTTAACCTCTTCACTCCTGACATCGAGTGAATGAATTCCCTGTGTTCCTGTTGCCTTGGAGCGCTGAACATCACTGTACGTCCCTACACATTTTAGAATTAAGCTTAACATGCAAAAACAATTCCTATAATATCAGCTGTTTTTTAAATATTTGTATTTTTGTTATTTAAATGTTATTTCTTATAATATAAACAGAAATATTTTAATACTTAAAATAAAAATTCAATTATTAATAATTATTAGCGAATGATAGTCATATATAATAATTAAACTAATGTTACTTCCCAATTTCAATTCTTTCTGTATTATAATGTAAAGTTTTATAAGTAAATAACTCGAAAATTAAAATATCAGTACTTATAATTGCAATACTTATTAATAGATTTAGGTTGCTTGCACTAAGTGAAATGTTTATAAATTATGAGTGCGCATCCTTAGCATTGTGTATTTAATTTTTGTAGAGTAATAATTAATATTCATCAGAACAATTCTAACAATCTAGAGATTCTATTCAGTACATTCTGACTTAATTTATATGAATTTAAAATTTAAAATAAAATGTTCCATTTCTGCATATTATATACAATATGGGGAGCCGTCACTGATACTTCACTGCCATAATAAATTTGATATGGTGGGCTCAAGGAGAGAAATTGAATCATGTCATATGTGATATGCTTGAAGTGAAGAGGTTAAAACAGAACAATGCTATAAAAGTTTTAAAATTTAAAATAAAACATCCTATTTTTGCATATTATATACAATATGGAAAGCCATCAATGACACTTCACTGCCATAACAAATTTGGTATAGGGGCCTCATGGAGGGAAACTGAATCATATACGATATGCTTGGAGTGAAGAGGTTAAAATGGAACAATGCTATAATTTTTTTTTTTTTTTTTTTTTTTTTTTTTTTTTTTTTTTTTTTTAATCTGTTCCAAACTTTAAATTCAAAATGTATATTTCTTCTTTCCCAAGAAGTCTCTTCCCAATTGTTTACCACAAAATGATCTTATAAGTTTATTAAAAAAATTTTGTATCATCACCATAATCAAGTGATACGTTAGGACTGCAATAAATGTGTGTAATAATGACTTTGATTGCAATAAATGTAAATGAAAAATATCTAGCTTTAACCATTAATTACTGATATAAAATCTGCCAAACTCCATGCTGCAGATTTAAGTATATTTCTTTTCTAAAATTTATATGCTAAGGCCTTTTAGTTGTAATATTAATGGGATTTTATATTCACGATAGAAATATTGGGCTGGATTATAATACAGTCAGTGATTTCTTTTAAAACAAATTTTTAATAGAAAAATTTAGCACTCTATCTTTCTAATTTTTTGAATTTTTCAAATAATGCAAAGGCAGCAATATACTGGCATAAGCTAATTCTAAGCTTGAAAACATCTATTTTTTAATAAGAGCATAAAAAATTAAATTTTCTTTCTGTTTCAATTTCCCGATTTAGTTTGTCAACAAACATGAACTTTACATTATTGCATGGGCAATACTGGCTACTTCAATTGAAAAAACATGAGATTTTCTCCCTTCAAGTCCACATATGGTCCTGGAGAACCACATCATTTTGTATATTGGTATTCAAATGACAAAGAACAAAAGCTCAGTCAATTAAAACATGATTTTTCAATCAGATTAAAATTTATTATAATTTTATAAATTTTACATACTTCACAATTCTTTCAGTTAGTGAACTACTTAAGCTAAATGAAATTAGTTAATAGGTTCTAAAATATACCCCTGCATTGAAAAGGGGGATACCAAGATAAAATATTTCATTAACTGAAATATTAAAACATTTCAATTATGTACCAAGACAGTTTAAAATTATTTCTATTCTTTCATGAAATAATTAAAGTGCCAGAAATCAAGTGTTTGGTGGAGGGGGAGGGGAAAAAAGGAAAGCTTATCTACTGGCATCTTAATGCACCTAACTTAGAGAAATCACTCAGACCTACAAGAATAATTATTATTTCAACTTACTTCACTATTATGAATCACATTTTTTATACAGCCATTGAAGCCCTTCCTTGCATGTGCGTAGTTCCACTTGTAAGAGTTTAAAACATGGTGATTTACGCCACCAAGCTGCAGAGGTCCATTCACATTTAAGAATTCATTGAATGGTTTGATTTCTGCAGATCCTTCACAGATGGACCTGTCAGTGACTGGAGGATCCAGGTCACGGTTTCGAGCAGTCACGCAGTTATCCACAACCATTGTAACAGTCTAAAATGAGATAAATAATAAAAATGACAAATGCGCAGAATATTAATGTTAATATACATTACAACACAACCTATCTTTTAGGTTTTTGAAAGGCAAGAAGGTTATGAATTCCTTAAGCAAGAAGATTTATTATGAGAGAGAGCTCACTGAAAGCAAAAGGATAATTATTGAATAACTTACAAACCATCAACAGCATAAAGATGAGTACTTAAAAAATTTTATTTCAGTGTTAGAAAATCTAATTCAATGTAAAAGAAGCCTCCTCAAACCTTGAAAATGCCCATGTAGCCAGCCCATTCTCTGAAATCCCAAGGAAAACTACCAGTATTCAGCAACTTTACTGCTCAGCCACTGGTGGGCCTTGATGATCTGTGATAGTCTTTACATGTTACAGAAAATTTATCTTATTGCTGTTTTTCTCGCTGAGCTATTTTTATCAGTTTACCTTGTTGTAAAAATTATTACTTTCAATAAAGAGTCAATTTCTTCCAGTTTACTGTCTTAGTTATTATGGAGATCTCCATCAAACTGTATCAAACTACACTACAAAGTCTTGGTATCTAAAAAGTATCATCTAATACTAATCCAATTCATCTTTCCTTTCCTGCCATTTGTAAAACACAATTATTAAACTTAAACTTTAAAATAGCTTTAGAACTTAAAATGCTATTTCTTTCGCAATTCCATTCCATGTTATACAGAATGAGATCTATTATCGACCATAAATAAACATAAAAAAAGGATCATACTTGGAAGGATACTATTTTTTGTCATAAATATACTAAGTTACTATCATTTAGCTTCAAAAATTCAGGTGTTTAACATGGTAAAATGGAACATGTCTGATGAGGGCACCACATAAAACTACTAACTTTAATATTTTTCTTTCATCTGGTTGAAGGTTTTTAGAATTCATTTGAATTATCTTTTTTCTCATTAAGTTCTTAAAAAATTTTCAGAATATTATTTCTTAATGCAAAGAAATTACTCAAAATAGTTTGTGTAGATGTCAATGAAAAAATTCCCATTTAACTCAGAAAAATCAAAATTTTCATATGGCAGAACCTAATTACATAATAAATTACACAGAAAAATTAATCACCCTCCTTGCTAAGGGGGAAAAAAAAGGATAACAAATTTCTGTAACACTTATTTAACTTTTTAAATTTGTTTGAACTTTCTACTTCAAAAGTTATTTTAAAAAGAGCCACACAAAATACAATCTTCAACAATGAAACTATATTTAAATTCATGAATGAATAGTATATAGTATTAACAAATACTAACTTTTTAAATAATATAATTTACTAACCTCTCTATCCCAAAATACATCAAGCTTATGCCATTCACCATCACTCAAAATGGGTTGCACATTGACAACTATTTCTGTAGTTCCGGAGCCAAAATCGATGAGAAGGCGAGGTTTACCATTCTGCAATTCCAATGAAAAAAAATCTTGGACAATTTTTTCGCCAGGGTCAGCTTCTGAAATAGGGCCATTGTAAAGAATAAGACCATTTTGATTTTGGGTCATAAATTCCAAATGAAAGTGAGATTTTTCACACTGCTGTAATGGTGGGAACCAGGCATAACCATCACCTCCAAAATGACGAGTGGTTTTCTGACACTGAGGGCCTGTATATCCTTCACTACATGAACAACTGTAAAAAATCAAACACATTTGTGAATATACTCTACAAAACATATGCAATCATAAAACATCAAATTCATTGAATAAATTATGCAATTATAAAATACCTAAAAAAAATTTAAAAAAACCCTGGTATGCTAGTCTAAAACTTAATATTTGTTTAATGAGACTAGAGAATTGCAGGAAGGATCATGGATTCAAGTATTTGAAATATTCTAGAGATAATGAAATGACCACCACATTTTTTGCAGAGTGGTTCATGATTTGTTCTACCTGGAGAGGTAGGGTTTCTTTATTCCATACTGCATTCTTTAACATCCCAAATGTGCTCAATAACAGCAAAATTTGGTAACTTAGGTTGCAATAGTAAGATTCCAAACTCATATGAGTGTTCTACCCATAATCTGATGTTCTTATATTTGCAAGGTGGTCACTATCTTGTTAGAAAAGACCAAACTCAAAGAATGATTGCTAAACATAAACAAGCCATTAGAAAGATACATATATCGGTTCATGGTCAGTTTTTTTTTATTGAGTCCCACTAATTGCAAGCTAAACAAATCCTATATTATTAAAGAGCTACTATAACCTGCGCAATCTCCTTTTGATATATAGGATAACTGCCTTCTTGGGATTACAGATCCTTCCATCTATTTGAAACAGAAATGTGAGCAACCAGAATAAGCTACCAATTTTTAATTATTTTTCATTCATCACACTTGTTTAAATTAAGGACTGGCTCCCAATGTTCATATCACAAGAGGAACCACTACACAGTTGATATCCTGACATTAAATTTCAATGTTATTTAAGGAACTGTTATATGGATATCATGTTAAATGATTTTTACTAGTTGATGCTGGCCACGCTGCTGTCTTTAGTTCAATATTTTGCCAGTATTCTTGTCATCACTGCATAGTCTAGAAAAGGTCATAAGTGAAAATCCAGGCTTTGTTTCCAATATATTATGAATAATATCACAAGGTCGAAAACGAAATCACACTGAAAATCCTTTAAATTGTAAAAACTTGACGTTTTCAGAGGACTCTCAATTAAAAATATAGACATATATACGATTTCTTTTCAGACAACTGTAAGTAAATACATCAATAATACTCATTAAAGTTTTACATACAATTAAACCATAGGTTTACTTACTTTACTATTCCGAACTTGTCAGAGCATATACCATCATTGTAGCATGGTTTTGGTCTGGTTTTACAGGATTCCATAGCGGAAAAATCTCTAGCACCACATGTGCACTTTGCTACCACCCTAGCATAGACACCAACAAGAGATGTGCGGTTTGCATTCACAGTTGCAGGTCGATCACCTAATACACTGAGATAATTGGTACAGCTGTCTTCACATTTATCTTCATAGTAACACTCATCAATGCCCACCATAGTTATGTTCACACCAACTATCTGTTCAATCTAGACATAAAGAAGAAAACCACAATTAATGAGATATATCATACACACATATAAGATTAAATTTCCGTTTTTAACAGCTTTTAAAATTGTTAATATTTGAGGGTATATGGTACAATTGTGACAAACCTCCTATAATGGTAACTTCGGTGGCCTCTAATGTGGAAACCCTCACTATTTTCACATTTATTTTGAATGTGCCTCTTGTCTCTGTGTTAGTAATTGCTCATAATTAACTCTGATATTGCCTTTGTTTTTTAAAACTTATATTCAGTGATACTGCAATTTGCCATTATGTGAAAAAGATGCTGCTCTGTTTTTCCAAGGAAAGGATATTCTATCATGTACTAGGCTTATTGACAACAAATTTTGATTTTACAATATCATATAAGATTGTTGTAAACAATGCCTCTTAACAAAAATAGTTTTATGTATCAAAAATTCCTTTTCTAATTTCAATACACTTTATCTATTATAGGTGAAAATGAAGACATAAATACAGAAGAAATGAAACCAATCAAGTAGCGTGAGAAATAATGACATTTTTAGCAACAAAACAACTATCAATTAAAATAATTTCATGAAATATGTTTGCAAGAAACTTCTAATCAAATGTGCCTAAAACTGAATCGGAGGACCTATAACTTGCCAAAACTGATTACATGTACAAAATGTACCTCTTTGCATGTACAAAACAAAATTCCAAAACAATCTTGTTTTAAATGTGGATATTTGGAAGTCTGTGCCAAGAAAAGTGTAACATTTTCTGGTTGATGTTCCTAACAAAAATGTCAAAATACTTTTGTGAAATACGTTACTTTCAGTGCTATCAGTGAATTTATACGATAAAAGTTGAAAAAAAAATTAAAAACTATTCATGCAATATTTGCAGAATAATGGCAAACATTTTTTGCATTTAAGATTGACTTTGTTTCTGTAAGATATTTGTGGACTGTTACTTCAAAGATTCGTAAGTACCAGTCCATCTTTTAATTTGACTTTTTTTTATTAGCCTAAAAATAGTTTTTATAAAATGATGATGCACATGCTTACACAACAGTAATGAAATTATTTGTTTTCAATAGTGTTTCACCACTCAGTTTGAAACCAACTGTTATTGAGTTCCCACCCCACTGAAGGAGAAATCCTAACCGATCATAACTAACTTTATATGCTTCCTTTCATTCAGTTTCTAGTTTTCCTGCTGCTTCTTTGTACAGCAAGACATGTAAATAGCTCGAAAACTGTCACAGTGTATGTTCATTTCTTAAAAACCTCTATCCTAAGACTATTTAATTAAATTTGAGTTTATGATTCTTACTTGCTTAGAATATAAAACTTAATTAAAACAGTATTTTTGTAGAATACTGAAATTCAAGATAAAAATTTTTTACCAGGACTGCATTGAAAACTGAACTAGCTCATAAGGGTTTAAATGTTTTTGAAGTACAACAAACAAATTATTAAATTTGTAATTCTTTAAAGACCCCTTTAAAATTTGCATGCTTGTTCAATGAATCACAAATAGTTTTGAAGCTCAAATTAGTTATATTTGGTTTACTAAATTAGTTAAACAGAATTTAATGAAAAATAGCATATAAATTTTTGTTAAACTAAATTTATAAAACATAACATAAATATCTTTATTGAAATATTTTATTGGAACTGTTGCAGGCAACATTAACACTAATTATAGCATTAACACATTTGCTGGCAATCATACACAGGTGCACTGCCAGCATATGGAAATGCCCATTTAACACTTTTTCTTCAGGTTAGTTAGCATTGTGTCTCAAAGGTGGGAGGAAATGCAATAAATTCACCCCTTTTCTGCAGGTGTTTTAAGTCTTACATTTCTCCTGTAAATGTTTTTCAAATTTTTCCAATGATACAAGCAACATAAAGGTCAATTCATCAGGGACTTGATTATTTACATTTCACATGGTATATACATAAAATGCTAAATGTAAGCATTTATTTAGTAATATAAATGTCAATTCATCAGTGACTGTGAATGAATCACAGGTAAACAAGATTAAAGTATTTCAAGACTTACATTTTTCCTGTGCAGGGCTACTAAACCATCTAATTTAGAAGCTTTGTAATAAGGAGAGCCATGAGCTGCAAATCTTATATCTGTGAAAAGAGGCTGCTCGGGATTTTTTAGAACTGTAAAAATATCAACATTATCTTTTTTCACATTTAGCAATTTAGCCAAAATATCTTTAAATTTATTGTATTTGCTTTCAACTTGAACTTTATTCTTCCAATCCCATACTCGAATAAAATCTTCATCTGAGTGCCCTAAAACGAAAAGAAAATGTTTTAATAAAATTATTTAGTTATTTGTACATTATACATTAAACAGAGAAGTTAAATATATATATTTTATATGAACTGAAACAAATACTATAATAATCACATTAAAATTACATACCATTAGCACAAGAAATTTCCAAGTCTGTTACTGGCATAACTATTAAAAAACATTAACCTTCCTTGTTCATATGCAAAACATTAAGCAAGAGTAGTTCACATAGGCCAAAAAATATTCCATGTAAATACCTTTATTCCACTATCTCTGTATGCAGATTTCATTGCACATTAATCATGAAGCTAATTTTGTTTTACTTTTTAATTTGGTAGCATGCTAAATATATACATATATAAATCCTTCTAACATATGCAGAGGAGCAGGTAAGTAAGCATAATTCTTAAAATTTATGTTTCTACTGCAGAACTGCATACTCGCGCCTTGAGCAAGACTAAAAGAAAGCTATGAAGTAATTTCTTTTACTAAAGAGAATGTGAACCCAAAAAAATCCATGTCAACTGCACAGTTAAGTCTCCAGCCAGAGATGTCCTATCAGACAATGCCATACATTACTTCAGGAATAACTTGAAGAGAATGAAGTGAAGCTAAACACTTTTAGACCATTTACGAAATATGTACCTCCCAAAAATAAAAGGCAGATGTGCAGAAAAACCAAAGATAGTTGAGATTTCAACTCACAATGGATAACTTGGAAGACTCAGAATTACAGAGTAACAAGACAATATTTTTGTATCTAATAAACTAGCAAAATTTTTAGCATTTCATATAGCAGTGGTACTTTTAATATTTTCTGAAAAACTTGTCATGCTTTTCCACATTTTGGATCAAGCTCAGGCATGGATTAATATTATTCACCCAACAATATAAACAAAATGGCATCCTGTCAAACATGATAAGGCATCACATAATTGATTCATGGGACCATTACCATTTTTTAAAACTTCATGCTATTGTATTTTTAAAAATTCAAAATTAATATAAAAGAAATTACTACATTGCGTGAATTACTTCCTGCCAAAATCCTATGAATTTGCATCTATTTTAAGAGCTTACTAAAATCAAAACATACTGGGGGATAAAAGTTAAAATTAGAAAATTTCAACCAAATATAAATTATCAAACTTATTTATAATAATCAACAAAGACAACTTGCAAAGAAAGAAAACTCATAAGCTCTTCAACTGCTTAGAATCAAATTGATATATTTAAACACACAAACAGAAACAAAATTAATACTTCTCTTCAAAAAAGTTATAAATATCTTACCCGCTATTCTTATAGATCCAGAATTGTAAACAGCTTCTTCTGGAATTTCCTTAATTGTGACTGTAACAACTGCAGTTACTTCTTCATTTCTTTTTTGGTCCACCACCATGAAATGTAAAGTGTATTTCCCACCACTAACCATATCACGCATAATGATATCTCCTGATGTAAAATTTAATTCAAAATTAGGATGCTGTTTATTATCTTTCCAATAAAAAACTTTATCCACATCATCCCAATCATCTTCATCTTCCACATGGACTCGACCAATGTAAAGAGGTGGTTTTGTTCCTGTGTGTACAAAAAGCAGAAAATAAAAATGTACCAAATCAAGCAATTCAGTACTGAAACATATGGTATTAAAAGCATCTTTTACTAATTAAAACAAAGTTTAAAATGTTCACAATCATCAAATGAATGTAATATAAATTGAACATATTTTGAATTACATTAAGTTTAACAAAAAAGAAATAAAATAATGCTACACTAAAGTACATAATTTTTAATTACAATAATGATGCAAACATTTCTAAAAATTAACAAATAAATATGTTGCGAACAAAATTATTCATTACTCAAAGATTTAAATTATTAGAAGTGCATTTATTGCTTTTAAATTACCCAGTTTGTTTCAGCAAATATATATTGATCTTAATTTGAAAGATAAATTAAGGGCCTTTTGTTCTGCTGAACATCGAGACTTTCATAACTATATTTGAGAGATTGCAAGCAAAATAAGTTGAAAAATTTTATGCTCTTTTCAATGGCAACATCGAGTAATCTGCATGTATTATAAATGCATAGAAATTGTAATGTAATATAATGTAACATAAGAGCAAAAAAAATTCAGGAAGACTCCATTAAAGATGCTCCTAACACCCAAACTTTCATTCGAAGGAAAAAATGTTAAATATTAAAATCTAAATATACACATTTTTCTATTAATACACTTTGACTTACCTTTGTAACTATATACGAATATGTCTTTTGAGCCAGGATACATAGGATTGTCATTTTCATCTCCAATTATGACAGTGAGAGTGTTTGTACTTGTACGTGATGGTATCCCACTATCAGCAATCACAATAGGAAGCTCATATTCTTTCTGCACTTCTCTGTCAAATTCAACTCGAGTATACACAGTTGCAGATCCCTTGCCATTATCACCATCTAACATGGAGAAAATGAAAAAATAATCAAAATTTAAACATTTATATTAAGCCGCTTTCAAATGTTAAAAATAATTTTAAAACAATTACATAAAATTTGGGAGTTCAATAAAATTCTTTTTACATTCTAAATGAAAAGAAGAAAATACATGCTATAACAGCAGTAATATGCAAGATAATAAAACTGCCTTTCTTTAATACTAGAAGAAATACTATGTGACATATTGCTTTGAAAACATGAAAATGCATTTACACACCTTTATTAAAAACTACTTTAAAAGAACTCTGGATGATACTATCTGCATTATCAGCTAACCGAAATCTGAACCATGGCTTGCTCGATGGAGGTAAGTCTGGATCCTCAGCAAATATTTCAATAACTTTCAATTCTGGTTTGGTGTTCTCTGGGACAATTGGGCGGTAGTCCTCTCGGAAACGAGGAGCATTATCGTTAACATCCAAAACATCAACAAGAAGTGTAGCAGTAGCTGTTCTTGGTGGTGTTCCTAAAAAAAATATGTAAAGCATATATAAAACTGGTCTTACAATGTAATTTGACAGCTGTTAGAAAAAATTAGTAAGAAATAATTTGCATAGATTCTACACAGTTTTAAATAACTAGGGCCCGTACTCTTCAATTCCCCATTAAGAATCTATTAATTTAAGACCTTTAAAAGAAGGTTTTTATTACCTACTCACAGTTATTTTAGGTCAGAAAATATTAACATAATGGCAGATATGCCTAGCCACAACCAGTATGTAAATGGGCACAAAGCTATGGAGGGATGGAAATTAACACACAAGGCCATTTAAAATTTCCTCAGAGATGAAAGTCTCCATATCTGGATTGCAGCATATTCCATATATGTAAAACTACCTCTGAATGGGTTAGTTTTACACAAAATTTTGTTCTTATATGACTTCCCTTCCACCTGACAATTTTGACTTAAACCATAAAAGAAACTTCATGAAAGATAACTTTTTTTTTACAGTAAAGGCACATAAATTTAACTGGGACTGAAAATTCATTTAAAAATTAGCAGCTACAACTTTAATAATCTTAAAAGAAAATAAACACAATTTTCATTCTTTTTTTATATTCATACACATAATGAAAATTATTTTAAATAAAGTACATCGTAAACTGTACTAAGTCATAAATTTTTGATATACTAAGCTCTTAATCAAATGCTACAATCTAAAAATTACAATGAAGGATCACCAGTGAAGAAAGCTTAAGAAGTTCCATTTTATATTAAGGAATTTTTCAGCATTTTAATGCTAATAAAGGAGCCATCAGCGACATAATTTTTTTAAATTTCTCTTTGTTTTACAATTATGCTCATTATGCCAAAATGTCTACAACAACAAAATTTAGACATTTTATTATTAAAACATAGCAGCTATATGAATAGAACAATAATATTAAAATCAGTCTTACCAAATTCTGCATATAACACCGATTTAATTAAAATAGTGTCATCAGAGAGATTTATTTTATATCACATAATTTATTACAAATTCAGAAAAAATAACTTTTTTAAAGTTATGTGAGACTGAAAAAGTAAACAGCTTACCATCATCTGTAGCAAGAATTCTAATATCATGACGACTAACAGTTTCTCTATCCAAAGGCCTCTGAATGGCAACTATACCTGACTGGTCGATTTTGAACTGCCTTCTTCTATCGGAAGACCGATCAATTGAATACCTGTGGCACAGACAATTTAGTTAGAAACAATATCTGAAAAATGCACAGCATTAAAATATTAAGAGAAGAAACTTAAAAAGTCTGCACTGTCTCAAGATTAGACATTTTTTTAATTTTGCAAATTTTATGCCATAAAAGGCAAACTAGTTAAATAGGACCTTAAAAAAAAAAAAAAAAAAAAAAAAAAAAACTAAATAAATAAAGATATCAAAGCAATTTCTTTATGAGAATTTTAAAGATAAATATTAAATATACAAAGAATTACTAATTACTTTTATAGAAAAATATATAGCAAATATATTTTACATTTCAATTACAATAATAAAGCACATAAAAATAAAAATTTTAGAACATTCTATAATCTAATTAATTTGAGGGACTATGTTTACTTTCAGCATAGACCATACTAACAAAAATTTCCTTTATACAATGATATTAAATTTTACAAGTGGGTGAAATAATTAAGACATTATATTCATTATTTGCTTCAACAGATAAATAATATAACTGATTGAGACATATGTTATAGTTATACATAAGTTTTAAGCAGTTATTAAGCATTTAATTTATTATTATTTTAAGCAGTTGTTATTAATTAAAAATCAAATGATATGGACCCTAGAAAGATTTAAGTCGGAAAAACACTCACCTAACCATTGATTTCCCAGCTTGGTCAGGATCACGGGCTTGGAATTGTTTCACAACATATCCAATAGTAACATTTTCATAAACACTAGCCTTTTGTAGAGGCTTTGAAAATTCTGGAGGATTGTCATTTATATCGATAAGTCCAATAAACACTTTTGAATAATCAATGTGATATGTATTTGAAGTTTCTCCACCATGATCACTAACTTGGATTGTGATATTAAAACCATATCTTTGCATAGGATCTTCATAATCCAAAGGCTGAAAGGAAAATAAATACATACCAATTAATTTACTAATTCAAAACCAAATGCTGCATGAAATTAACAAATGAAGTGCCATAACATAAATCAACATTTCTGATTCCAATGGCTGCAGTAAATATTTTAACAGAAATCATTTAAAGAAAAAAAATCTTATGCTGTAACTTACACTAGCATTATAGTAAAAATTTATTGCATAATTTTAAGTATTTTCTGTTATTCATACTTTGTTTTATATACATTTTTATTTTCAAAGGATATAAATATGTGGGACTATAAGCACAGTGTGCATGCTAAATACATTATACCAACCATAGTTTTTGGTATTAAGCATCACGGAAACTGAATTTGTTACTTAAGATCACTATACCTTTCCCTCTTTGAATTTGTTTACACACTAATTATCTTTATTAATGAATATACTGTATTCAATGTGATAGATATAAAACAGTATTTTAATTTAAAATTTAGTTTTTCTTTAAACTAACTTGAAGCACAAATTATTTTTTCAATATCGAAAGAAAATTATATCCTTTTAAAATGTGAAATGCTACCAAGCCCCATAACATTATATCAATAAAAGAGAGCCTTTTTTTTCCAGATGGCTGATTATGAACTAGGGCACATCAGTTACAAATCCAAAAACTATATATATAAGAAAATGTAAGAAAAAATATGTAAATCAAAATGAAAACTTAAATTAACACTAGCCCCTTAAGTTTTCATTTTAATTTGGATACTTCTGCTCACTATTTAAAAAACAGTAGTAACTTTTTTTGGACTGCAAAATTTCTAGATTAATCCTATCATATGGCATTTACATAATGATGATGGTGTAACTAATTCAGAACTCAGATGGTGTAACTAATTCATACTCAAAATTTCAAGAACTGAAACTTTTCTCTTAACAAACTGCCATAATAGATACCTATGTACTTTGCTCCTATCATTGTTCTTACTAAGATGCTGTTTCACTGCTTTCTTCTTATCCCAAGAATATTATTACATGCATATGCATATATATATATAATTGTAAGAAAAATAAAGAATATATAAAAGATTAAATTAGCAATGTAAATTTCCGTTCTCTATTTTAAAAATGGTATCCCCTCTCTGCACTGTGTCATTTCGAGACTATTCTATGTCATACGATTCTTACGTAATTATGATGATGTGAATGGAGCTAAAACTCAACCAGCCAATAGTAATTTTAGAGCAATATCAACTGTTCAATCAGAATGTATTGAGAACCAAAACTAACTCAGTCTGACTTGAGATTTCATCCTGAACATTACGCACTTTCTTTCTACGTTTTGCCTTAGCTGGACTGCTGTCTGTATGCTGCTGCTTTCTTGCTACAAAGTTATCAAAAATGTAACCCTTTTGGAACAGGCACATTTAATGTGCCGACTTGTGTGTAAAGATATAAAATATAAAAGCAAACTTCTAAATTTAATTCACTATAACCTCTTTTATTTTTCTATTTCATTTAGGAACTTTGTCTATCTGTCCTAAAAATAGCGCTTAAGTCTAAACTGCGTCATTCAAATTAATCATGTGATTTTACGTAACCCTTAATGCAGATGCCTCTTGACCAATCACCTAATTATAAACCAAAACTCAAAACTGAAACTTTTGCCTGCCCCCTTCTTTCTCTGCATTGCTACTGTGACATTCACTCCCTTCTGGCTTATGCTTTCATCCTGTTAAGGCACTTTCGCTTAAGCTTTCCTCCTAGCCAGAATCTTTGCAGCTACCTTCTTTGTTCAAGGAATATGTGCTGATCTAACAAAAATGTACAGCGCATAAGACGTTCGTCCATATGTGAACCAAATATTACGAATCCCGACTTGCTTTCCTCAATAATAAAGCTCTCTTGAATCTGGACAAGTTTGCCTTGCCAAGCTTTTCGCTACTCATTTTTTATGCCACCTCCAAGCTCCAAATCATTCATTTTATATCATGACATATATAATTCACCCATTGTGATTATACATGAAAAAAGAAAAAGTTCTAATTATTATAAAAATAATGAGAGAGAAACACTAAGGTTTCAAAGAGTTTATGACAGCATTCAGATATATAAACTGGAATCTAAAAAAAGCAAACTGCAAGTGTCGTCACATTTAGCAGCTACATAAGTATTGATTTTATGCCTATTTTTTTATTTCCATACACTTTTTAGAACCCAGAACATACAGAAAGAGTAAATTATAATCTTCTTACATTAAAACTGTTATGTTATGTGACACAAAATGTTGAATCATGAAACATTAAGTTTTCCCATTTTTTATTTGTAAATTTACATAATAAGAAAATTCATACACTAAATTTTCACAGATTATATTTATACAAAAAGAAAGCACAAACCTTAGCAACTTTAAGTGATCCTGTGCCATCTGAATTAGTAACCATAGTAAATTTATCAGCTCCAAATGTGCTGTTTATAACCTTATAACTAAAGCGATTAGTTTCTAACAAATCTTCATCTTTCACAGAGACCACCAGTATTGGAAGCTCTGGAATATCATCTCCTTCCGTCTCATCTACTTGTACATACCACTCCTTCTTTGTAAACACCGGGGGCATATCATTGATGTCTCTGATTTTGATAGTAGCAGTACCAGTTCCTGGGAAAAAAAGGACAGTTATTTCATGGCAGAATTATTATCAATAGTTTTTTTTTAAAAAGCAGAATCCCATCTATCCAAACTAATTCAAGAGGTGAGGTAATACTTATTTTGGGGACAAGTGTTATTTTTTGCATAAAAAATATAAATTGTTCATTTTTACATACATCATTTTTGACAATAATGTTTTTTAATGAATTCAAAATCAAATAAATGTCAAAATTTGGTAAGTGCATGAAGGAAATATGCATCTGCAGTAAAAAAAAAAAAAAAAAAAAAAAAAAAAAAATTACATTTTTATTATGCAATTCAGGTAATGGTGATTTTACTTCTACCATTATGGATGGCAAAAAATCTTCTGGGGCATAATACAAGACTTTTTTAAAATAACTGACTGAAATCTTTGAATTCCATTTTGGACAGTTTCATCAAAATCTCTTTAATACAATGCAGATATTTCAACAGATAAATTCTGTTAGCCTTCTTTAAAATGAAGATGAGTTTAAATAATGAGCATAACTACTAATTAGGGAAACTCGATTGATAATACATGAATTTTTTGGCATATGTAAATATACTCCGATCAGTTGTTTACATAAATTTGTTCTTTATTCGTCAAAGGTTTTCTATATTTCATTGTTTCTGCCTCAAACCTCCAATGACTAAAAAGCACAAGAGTCAAAGTATGCCTTACTTTAAATGGAAACGAAACAAAAAAAAAAAAAAAAAAAAAAAAAAAAAAAGAAGAAGATATGGAAAAGTATGTAGTACTAAATTATCTTTAGCAATCTATAGTTTTCACCCCTTTCTCCTGTAAAGAGACTGAAAAGAACCAATAAATAACTTTCAAGTAAGTTATATATCTATTTGTTCAATTTAAACAAGTTTGAGCTTCAAAAGCCAAAAAGAATGTTATTAATACCCTCTAAAGACAATGCAAAACAAAACTGTAGACTGGAGTTGGAAATTATGCACTTTACGATATCACCCCTTAAAATAAATAAATAAATAAATAAATTTAAAAAAAAAAAAAAAATCGCAAAACTGAAATTTTGGTAAACCTATTTCCTTTATCTTGTTTCTCCTCATCAGTAAACAAACCAGAAACACTGTAATCTATAGCAGTACAGCAATGATATGTTGTAATGTGTATTCTATACCAGTACAATTTGTGGATTATCAGATGGTAATCAATAATAAAGGTCAATTAATTCTTTGTATCATGTAACCATATTTATAACACATAACCAATTTATTTACAAACATTAAATCAAACAAATACATCATCACACACAAAAAATTTGAATTAAGAATACTACTTTTCTACCCTAATCTCCTCACCTCACCCTTTAGAGTAGTCCACATGAAAAGATGAATCTTGGATAAAATTCATGCCTGAAATTGCAATCTACAAGCTGATACTAAATTAAGCCACTAGCAGGTGTGAGATGATATCATCTAACATAGACTAAGATAGTAATAACTGATAAGTAATAGACTTCTCACTTGATATTACAAAAGATCTCACTACATGAAAAGTATCAGAGCATGTAAACAGCTTACAACTAGTCCGTCAGCGGTGCAGCTCAATTGTTGATTTCAGTGAGATCATTAAGCAATGATTTCACACTCCTTTAATATTGTTCTTCAGCCATAAGAAATTGGGCCAAAATGCAATTTCTCTTAAAAAATGCTTAATTTAATCTTTAAAAGTTCCCTGATAAACTAAGAAATTCTCAAAACAGAACAAGTATTAGCCAAAGAGTAAAACTGCTGAACAATGGTAGTTTGACAGCAGTTAATGCCCCAGAAAACTGATTGGCTGTAGAGAAATTTTCATAGTTTTCTCCACATGTAATGTGACTATGAGCCAATTTCCTTTCTAAGGAATTTTCCTTTAAAAATGTCCTAAACAAAAATATTTCCTTTACATAGATATCTCTGAAGGACTCAGCCATAATCTGAATTATCCTAATTCTCAATTCGAGAGAACTAAAAATTTGCTGTTAATAAAAACTCATTTCTCAACATTAGAGCTAATGACTTCATTTAGCTTAAAAAAAAAAAAAAAAAAAAAACCCAGCAACAGGCTTATAGTCATAATAATTCTTCTGATGCAAATAAAAGCTAATTTTTAATTTAAGTTGCTGATATTCCTTTTAGTGATAATAAATAATGACTTTACTTAGATTATTATTAAATACAGCCTAACAGGGAAGTTCTCAATGACTGAGAAAGTGCAGTTAATATGACAAATGCTATTTGTGTCAGCACTTTTTATCTCCTCCCTACATATTTACTTCTATTCCTTTCTGTCTTCAATAATTATTGCTGTAGGGTAGGATTAATGCATATTTAATACAGAACAATGAAAGAATAATCTAGATCACATTATCAAAAGAATTCATTGTTGCCAACTTAAAGATAATGTAAATTCTTTGAAAAAAAAAACACAACCAAATGGGAATTAATGTTAGTTAACAAGTTAAAAACACTATATTATATTGCAGGACAAAATACCTTGAAGGCCCCCTCCATCTGTAGCTACAACTTTAATTGTGTATTCTGAAATAGCTTCACGATCCAGGCAACACACAGCAGTGGTTATTACACCAGTATCTTGATCAATGGCAAAAATCAATTCATGGTTTTCATTTACTTGATTCTGCTCAATTGTGTATTTTAATTTTGCATTTGAACCTTCGTTTGGATCATCATAATCAGTTGCAGTCATTGTCATTACTGTCAAACCTAAATAAACAAGAAAAATATGTCTTTTAGATTATAAACACTAATGAAATAGAAAAGAAAGTTTTTAAAAAGGTTTCTCTTTATGAAATCTGGTGTGATTTCTTTAGATTATAATAATTATGCAAATTAATACTGCCCATTTCCATTCAGTTACATGACAAACAAAAATATAAATCACATATAATACATATATTATTGAATACATTAAAAATGAATAAACACTTCCTTGTCCCTTCAAATACATGACAAACAAAAATATGGATCACATAAAATACAAATATTATTAACTACATAAAAAATGAAAACCAATTGCTGTTTTCCTAAAAGAAAATTAAAATATAACATTCTTTACAAAAATTTGAAATCTGAAAACCTTTAGAAAACAACCTAACATTTTGAGGACAGATTTTTATTATTAAAATTTTTTACTTATTAAAACGCATACATTTAATTTTAATTAATTTCAATTTTAAAAGTTGCTCTACTTTTTTTCGCATTTCCTTTTTAGATGTAAAATGATAATAAATAACAAAAATTAAGAAAAAATAGTTACTGCTTGAAAAAAATGAAAGAGGTTTTTAAAATGTATACAGAAAACAAAGTGCAAAATTTTGCAGTCAACCCTTGTAAGAGTATTAAAAAACTAACCTTTTTTTTTATGACACTAAAATAACAAAATTTAAATAGTTGTTCTCTCTGTCTCTCTCTATATATAAAACCATTCTTCAAATGATTAATTTAATGCTGTCTTTAGTAATGCACTTCTTTTACATTTAAAATAAATGAAATATATATAATTAAATTACAATAATGACTGTGACCTGATTTCATCAAAATTGTTTCTGTCAAAAATCTGCTTCAATGCTATGAATTAAATGGAATTAAAAAGTACTTTTAATATGGGTAAAAAAATAACAAAATAAAAATAAATCCTTTACCAGTCGTTCCATTTTCTGTAACATTTCCAGAGTATATAGCCTGAGGAAAGAAAGGAGCATTGTCATTGATGTCCTTGAGATTGACAAGCACATCTGCATAGCCAACAAGGCCTTTCCCATCTTCGTCTGTTGCATAAACAGTGAATCGCCATTGAGAGCGACCATGAGGCAGATCTCTGTCAAGGGGTTTGAGCACATAGATTTCACCAGAAGTGTCATTGATGGCAAATTTGCTATTTTCAATCTTTTCTTCAATGCCCTGACCTGTAAGAAAGTAGAGTATCTTCGAATTCCGGTCCAAGTCGCCATCGGTAGCACTGACCTGAAGAAGGAAAAGATTTTTCAATCACAGGAAATTTTCTTCTAGCAACATGAGATATACCTTCAATGATACTTAGAATATATCTTCAAAAATATTTTTTACAAAAATGAAATGATAATAGATCAGGTTATAGAAACTGCTATAAAATAACGCAAGGAAAGAAACCAATGATAAAAGTACTGTAAATGCGTTTTTCCAGTGCATACACGGACTATGCGGAGAAACAAATTTACCATTTTCTGCGCAGCTTAATATTTAAAGCGCAGCTTAAAAAAAAGCTTAATATTTATTTGTTTACCTTATTAAACATTTCTTTCAATGTAAGTTGTTTAAGTTGCTTCGTTTTATGTGTTAATACTTTCTCTTTAATCCTATAAACAGACATAATTTCTTGTTCAGTTACAAAGTTCCGCTGTTCAAGTCCCGTTATTGCTGTGTCGAGAATACCGACTAACTTGTCAATCGAAATTTTTTCCTTTTCACTAACCTCTTTGTCACCTTCTTCATGTCATTATCCATTTTTTGCTGCAATTCCACTTTTTGTTTTGACGGACATCGAAACATAATTTCGTTTTGTAGATCCTTTGGGAGCTCCAGCATCGGAAATTCTATTTGACATAATCGAAAGTTCCAGTTTACTTTTATAAAATTGCTCTTACAGTCTGAAAAAAGTAATAAGCCGGATCCAGTTCGACGATTAAGGAACAACGCAATCATCAACATTAACTGAAATAGATAATTAGATAATTTTAGCTTATATCGTCCGTTTTACATTAAATGCGCACGCGAAAACGTTTTCTGCACTTGCGCACACGCATATGCGCAGTCGTAAAGGTCTTACGCTCACGCGTACCTATGCGCATGTGTCAACGCGGCGCATGCGCAGAAAGTTTTTAGCTTTGAGGTCCGGATTATAGATCATTCCGGATTATGGGTGTCCGAATTAACGACTTTTGACTGTATACATTGTTATAATATGCTCTAATGAACTAGAACAGTGAATAATAACATATTTTCTCCTAAATGAGAAGGACTTAGAATTTCGCATTTCGTAGTAATAAAATTATTGACTGGAATTATTGAAGACAGAGAATTTGATCGTAAATTAAAACCCAATGCAATACATAATTAATACTCAATAATAAAATATGTTACAGTTAACTTCCGATAACCCTGAGCGAATTAAACAGGCGCTGTCCTTTTGCCTTTTATTTACTTATTTTATTTCACATTATTTTTTTATTGCATGATGGAACGATGGAAAAAACTATAAATAATATTCGATCTTTTTGCTTTTTATTTTTTATAATGAGTACAAAATTTTTCTAAACATACGTATAGGCAACATAACAAAAAGTTAGATTTTTTTAATTTCTACAAAACAGATTTTTTTTTAAACCTAAAAATGCTGAGACATGAATATTTTGCGTCGTTTGAAACATTGCTGTAACTGGAAGAATATGTTTATAACGGACGATTGCGAAAATAAAAGTCGGATAAATAGCTCTGTGGAGACGTTATGTAACTAACGTCCTAATTTTTAGAGTAGGTCTATGTGCTTTTTGCTGAATCTAATAATTCAACACATAATTATAGTCTTTAAAAACATAAACAAAGAACGAGAAGAAAAGGCAAAGCAAAGACAGGATTACTTAATTTTCTCTGCATATCTGAAAGCAAAATACTTATGAACCTCACATATTCCCTCACATTCTCTTGTTAACACAAATTTCAAGAATCTTTCATCCAAATTTAATCTGCAAAACCACTCACGTTGAAGTTCTTCGAAAACCTCTTGATCCTCTTTTTAGCAATCCAGGCTCCCTAAGATTCAGATAAACCCTCACCCGGAAAGTTCTCGGACAGGAAGACATCCTTCATCCTAAACATACGCAGGCGAAATAACAATTGCAGAAACAAACACAAAAGGGGAAAAGCCTCGTGAGGAATTCTGAAACTTCTATCATAAAAGTAATCCACGAGCTGGCCCACACATGCAAAGATTGATGCAGGAGAATTGAGCTTTCCACTAAGAAGGGGGAATGAGAGATTTTTGAGATTAATGTTCATTACTTGACGTTCTAGCGTACATTAACGACACCGTATTCCTTTAGATCTCTCTAGTAAATGGCATTCTTGAAAATCTCCATCGTTCAATTCGAAGAGATCCAACATCCGTGACGGATTTAGGAAAAGGGTGGCGCACGTGAAAGATAAAAATGTGACAAAAAGATTTTAATATTCTTCGCCGGAAGATGAAATTATGAAGTAGGTAAAAGAAAATGAAAAATAGTTGCAAATGATGTCACACCACAACTTATAATTCTTTTCAGAAAAACGTTTTCAATAAAAAAAGGGAAAAGAATAAAAAATTGAGAAGAACCTCGTTTCATAGCTCATCGTCGCCCGTAATGTGATTTGAACTCATTATATATGCTGCAACACGTTCCTGTGATTTGGGTGTCGAAGGTTAATTAAAATTATGACCTCCGGAATAAGCGAAGGATTTCGGAAACGATGCTTCACAAATTCCGCAATTATGCTTTGGCATAATTAGCTGACCTAGGAGCTCAATGGCTATTATTAAGCACGCACGCGCACACACACACACACACAACAAAAAAAAAAAAAAAAAAAAAAAAAAAAAAAACCTTTTGCGCTAAGAAAGGACAAAGTTATAAAAAATCCTCTTTGTTGATTTTACTTACTTGATCGAAAACTTAAACTACACAAAACCCTGATGTTTGAGGTTGGAATACTCTTCTGCTTCTTCGAAAGTAAAAGTTTTCGAATAGTAAAGTTATGATTTAAATCGCAAATAACAGTTCAGGGATAAATTTAACAGCGATCGCATATTTTCTAGATTTTTGAATTTTAACTGGTAGCATAATATACATATATACACTTTTCCTCTGTGGCTACTTAAAAAGAGAAATCTATGTAAATAAGTCATGAACCATACAACAGCTTAAAGGCGATATTCAACAAGCCATTCACGACTTAGGATGCGAAAGAGTTAAAAATTCGTTGGATACAACACGTGGAATCGAAACTAACAATAATCGCTGTTTTGAACATATTTTTAAAATATTGTTGTTTATTTCTATAAATTGCGTTTAATGTTAAGGACAGTGAAAAAAAAAAAAAAAAAAAAGTGTTGAAAGAAAAACCGCTATTCATTATTTTGCGTCATATGTTAAATTAGTTTCATTCATCTGAGGGTTCGGCACCGTTCTCGGTAATGAAACGGCTAAAACGCAATAGATTTGGCGATTCTCATAAATTATTCTCGACTAAATGTTCTGGCCACTGGATTTTAAGTTTGTTCGTCTGGGCTTCATTTTTACTGCATTGTGCGTTTACTAGCCTAGTCAAGAAATGAAGAGGCAATAAGTTATTTCCAAGCAAGTGGTAATAGGCGAATAACAATGTTTCTGTTGTTATTCTGTAACGTTGCAATGTTTCAATGCAGTTTAGTATGACTTTGAATGAGATTATCAAACAAGACTCGCTCGAAATCAAAAAACCAGTCTTGTTTGATAGATCAGATGGCGTCGAAAATGTATTTTATTAACAAAAGGCACTAACAGATTGGCGGCGGCGCCTCGAAGTATCTAGCTAATACCAAAGTATCTATTCTTTTTAAACATTCTTTTAAGATCAGCAGTCAGGATAAAAAATGATTCGGTTTCCGAATCGCTATATTTTCAAAATCAATTTCAAGTAAATACTGAGTTACGAGCAAGGAGAATATGCTGGACCTTTATTAACGTCGATTTACATTGCATTCTGTTACACATCGTTTGCTTAAGTAATATTATGAGTGGCGTATCGAATTTTGGCAAAGCTACTTCGACACCACTACGCTGAACTACGCTCGCTCTCGCTGAAAGGGTACTGGCATCGTTATGCCACTGGTTACGGCACAAAATGGAAAGCAACCCTAATTTTGATAATAAACAATGTTTCGAATATTTTCACTGCTTCATCGAGCAACTTTGACACTAACTTGCATGAAATTCTCATAATTCTCAGGAAAATCCTTTGCTGGAATAAAATATTTACACATGCCTTTCAATGCGAAGAAAAGAAGAAATGCGTTCACAAACCTGTAGGATCTTTTTGGGCAGGCCATCCGAATCTTCTTCCAGGATATGCGTCTGGTACAGCGACTGACTGAATTTAGGAGGAAGGTCGTTGATATCTTTCACCTTAATGTGCACAATTGTGTAGTTGGCGTGCAAAGAGTCCGAAGCTGCCAATGTCAAATTATACTGAAAAAAATGGAGCAAAAATTTTTAATCCGCACACCACTAATAATAATACAATGGATATTGAAATAGATTAATTAATTAAATTAAAACAAAGGATTCCAGATCACAGTATTAGAAATATCTTTTTCAATTATAATAACATCGCAAAAGCTCGTACAGTACTAGTTTGATATATTATAAACTACACCAATTCGGCACAGTGTTTTGTTGATACATCTTCTAATAAGGAAAAATAAGTTCAAAACACTGGGAATAAGTCCCGTATCTGATGTCAAAAACATAAATGAGAAAAATACATTTGGTTTTCCTAGGAAGGTCCTTTGAGGAATGCGTTTTTCATAAAAATATTTATGTAAAAATTATAATTTTAATTTGCAATAGCCTCTTTAATTCTCCTTTCATTCCTAAAAATAGTAAATGCCAATAGTAAATCGCTCTAAACTGTGCCATTTCAAAATTAATCTTTCTACAAAGATTCAATTTCTTTGCATATATCGATTCTGCGGCCCAAAAAATGTCAAACTGCCAAGTTTTCGTAAAAATCCCAAGAGTTTTTTTTTTTTTTAAATTAGCTCTCAAAATTTTAGCTCCTCAATGTTAATTTAATTTGGTATATATTATATTAGTTTAATATCTCTTTTTTTATATTAAACTTATTTAATTCTCCCTTTCACATTTCGAAATAAAGGTTCATTACAAATAAATTCACCCATTTTTTTATAATTTATTTGTAATTTAAATAATTTTTATAAATTTTTCAAAAAAAAAAAAAAAAAATTGAATTATACTCTATGAAATTTTTAACATCATCTTAAAGTAGATGTATTTCTAGGCACACCATTAGAGTTTTTCATTCAAAATGTTCTAAGATATACATGAATGTACATGTAATGTGTGTGTGATTATGGCAAAGCTTCGGGGGCTATCTGCCTAAGGGGAGGGATGCCTTCGTGGAGGACTTTCTAAGGGAAACTGGCTCGCATACACGTTACACATGGGGAAAACCACGAAAACGCCCATGCAGCCAGATTCGAACCTCGGACCGAACTACCAGTGTTCAGCGACTTTACCGCTCGGCCGCTGGTGGGCCCTGTACATGTAATGTATGCGCGTTTTGAAATTCGGCATATTTTTTATAAGCGATAATAACGCCAATTGTGGTTTATGCACTTTGTTAAATTATTTGAAACGCTCATCTGCAATAAATACAAGGAAAGAAAAATAGGTTGCTATAAATTAAGAAGTTCGCTAAGGGAATCATTCTCTACGCAACTGAAAAGAATGCGCCAAGATAAATTTCTGAATTTCTAAGAGATTTCGCACTAACTTTTACAAAATTTAATATTTAGGCATAATTTGAGTCGTAGGATCGAAATATGGAAAAAAAATGGGCATGTCATTTTAGAAAAAGTCCGATTTTGTGTCAAAACACCTATATTAGAACAATGTTATATATAAATCTAATATATATGCTAAGTCGCGCTTTCGAGACATGAAAAACGCGGTCTAAATTTCGTCAATCGGCCCAATAGAACGGGAGAAATAGAACTGTCCGATTTGGGGGGGGGCACAGTGTACCATTGTCTATCTATTTTATTTTAATAAAGGCGTTTTACTAAGTAAATAACAGGATTCCACGCCTGTGAATTGTACCTCGCTGTTCGCCATATTCAGCGCAACGTAATATAGCACAATCCGTCAAACATGTGAACAACAAAATATTCAATCGTGAAAAAAAAGGTGAAAGTGCATGGCCACCAGAGACTTCACTACTGAATCGAACAGATACTGCCACAATACACTAACCAGCTAGAGTTTGAAAAACTGGAATTAACTGCACGCTTTTCTAAAGAATACTGGAGTTATACATCGGTGTTGCTTGATTTAAACAAAAGAGGATAATAACACAAAATTGGGGAAAGTTACATAATTGTTGCGTATACTCATTACAATATTGGATTACGTAAATACAACAAAGTTGATGTTGTGGTGATCGCTGCACTGGAATTTTTGCATTTTTACGTAAGTAGATAAATATATGGGAAGAAACCACAAGCACATTTCTCTCTAATCCTTTCAATATGAAGTATGTTATAAAATTAAAAATAAATGGCTAATCTTCGATCCGCGTAAAGAATAAAAAGGTGTCCTCCGTTTAAAATGTTTTTGGGAAAATCTTGTCACTTTCGCGAAATTTCCAATAACTGAATTCGGCTGTTAGAGGATATTAACGAAGTCTCTACAGAAGTTACATATGAAAAAATATCCTCCAAGACAGTACAATTCGTGCTACAATACAAAAGGAGTTAATGCCCCTATCGACGATTCAGGTGCAAATTTGCATTTTGACTGCAGAAGCTGGCGTTTATTTGATCAGAAACAAACCACTATTATGCCAAAATCACATTATTTTCCAGACTTCTCAACCTTTAATTCTGCTATTTTCTATTATTAAGATAATTCTACGGGACAAAATTTTCACATTTCTCTAAAAGATGCGATATGGTCTTTGACAGATGCCAAAAGATTCCAAGATTCTTCCAATAATTCCAAGAGTGCCAGGAGCTCCGAAGGAAGTATGTGTGTTCTGAGGCATGTTACTTCGAAGGTTATAATTTTTCATATTTCAAATAGTGGTACAGCTTTACAGATATTTTCGGAAAACGTTTTGAGTATAGGATTATTTCATTTGTTTCCTAAGACGGAAAGGAGGAAAAATGTTTTACGAAATTAATTTAAAAATTTACGTTTCTGCTAATCTACCACGCTTTCAATTCCATTATAACTGTTACTTTAATTTCTATAGGAGATACAAGTTAAAAAAAATGTAATGTTTAGAGTTTGATGTCAAGAGTTAATGTTTCTCTTCTAGTAAGAGTTCAAACCACGCAAAAATAGCTTCTGCATATATGAACAATGCCTCCTCAAATTCTGCAGTTCGCCCTCGCTATACACACACACACCAAAGGAAGTTGGCGAAGAATAAATTACAAGGATAAAGGTCAGTCACCGAGCAGTACGCAGCACAAAGCCATTAGTAACAATTTTTAAAAAGAACGGCCCCTGACAAAAAACTGCCAAAATCTCTTTTCCGCACCATAAAAAAACGCATTTGAAATGCTGCGCGCTCGAGAAAAATGGTGCCGATATAAAAGGACAGATTCCGAAGCCTTCCATGACAACAGAAAAGAAAAAGAAAAAGGAAATAAATAGCAGTATCCACCACCAGAAAAAAATGCAAGAAACTGGACTCCCTCAAATCTTCACCTTTCGTAATCTCTGGCACTCTAAAGGCGCACACATTTGGCTCGAAACCAACAGCTCTTCTTGAGAGATGAAAAAGCATTACAAAAGTAACAACTTAAAAGACGAGGAAAAGAATACAAAAGCACTCAACTTCACACTGTTTGCTGTTCTCTTGAATGTCTGCCCAGTCAAGGCGAGGCTAACGAAACCAAATCGAATTCCAAATCGTTGCACCGATGTTTTTAATTGCGAATGTCACCGCGCTGGTTTAAGACTTTTGCAAATATCCCCCTCCCCGCGTTATAATCACGCCGTGACTACTTGCAGTAGTAACATAGGAGGATCGAGTTATATGTAATATATGTGTAAACAGAAATTCTACGATATTTCCATTAAAAGCTTGCAATCGGAAAAATTTAAATTATTTTCTAACCTTACAAAAAGAATCTTCGGTTTAACTTTAAAAAATATATAAAATAAAATAAAATAAAATAAAATAAAAATAAAATCATGGGTGGTTGGATTTCAACTGGTTTCCGTCAACACGCTCCACAATTCAGCCGCTAAAACTGCATTACGCTAAACAGTTATAACAAACTTACCGATAGATTTTTAAGAATTAACTTTAAAAATTATAGTTAAAAAAACATACAATGTAATTAAAAAATAAGCCAAAGGATGAGTGGGTGAAGCCGTCGAACACAGTTAATTCGATCCGGGTTAAAATCCTGAAGATCAATTTGGTTCCACGATTGTTTTCGTCGTTTTCTGCATTTGTAACATGAACAGCAACCAGTTTATCGTAGAAGTCTTTCATAAAGGCATTCCTTTCCTAGCCCTCATGTGCTTTGCCTTAATTTTATAACCTAATTATGTTATTACTAAAAATAATTATTCAAAATAGGTATGTCAAACGGTAGGTAAACACTTAGTATGACATTAATCCATAATAAACATACATCAAACGGAAGCTTTAACATTTATTTAACATAGTTAAAAAACAAAGATCTTATTAAAGACATAAACGTGTGTTTTTATAACAGGTTTGGTTTATGTGATTACGGCAAAGCCTCAAGGACCATCTGCCCAATGAGAAGGATGCCTCCGTGGAGAGCTTTCTAAGGGAAACTAGCTCGTATACACCCTTCCGACCTCCTGTTACCCAGTCCAGACTTCTCCATGTTAAGCGCCCTTGAGGCATATTCGTTACTGAACCGGCAACGTCGCGTTATAAACAGCGACAGCCTGGCATAACAAATATTGATTGATACATCTTACACATGGGGAAAATCATGAAAACGCCCAAGCAGCCATCCCGTTCGCGAGATTCGAATCCGCGAACGAGATTTTAACAGGAATTAAACTCCTGTTTATAATAGCAGCTCGTGGATATGAAACAACCTACAAATATTTCCCACAAGTGAAGCAACGACAAGCAGTATTTCGATTGGACAATGAAAATAGCGCAATGGAACACCTTCTTTCAATTATTAATAACACTTTTTTTATTCCTACATAGCATATTGCGAATAAATCCGTTTCCTTGCATAAATATATTTAAATATTCATGAATGGATTATGTTCCAAGTACATGACAGGAAGCGTAAGAAACATTCTTTACTGTAAAAATATTTTTATAGCTAGATTAATGCTAATAATCCACAAATGCCCGTAATCCGAGCTCAATTTTGTATATAAACAGATACAATTTTGGTCTTTACAAAATTCAGCATGCCAGACTTAAAGGAGAGTTT